TCCCACACTTAGAATTTTCAACCTCCAACATACCCCAACATTGAAAAACCATCAATTTCAACAATTTAAATAAATTAAAACTCTTATCTATCCTTAATAAATAAAACCTAATCAACAAAACACCACTTTAGTCACCATATTATCAAAATTCAACAAATCTCACTTCTAATATCAAACCGTAACCTCCAAGTTTCATATAAATCAGAATCTAACTAAACCAAACCAATTAAATCCCTTGTCCAACCCAAATAACTATAAAAAACCTAAAAAAAGATTCAGTCAAAAAGTTAGAAATTTTAAAATCCTTAAAAACCTTAAAAATCCTAACTTTCAAGTCTAAAAAAAAAAAACAAGAGAAAAATGTAGAAAACAAGTTAGAATCACTTACCTTAAGGCTTAGAGGCTCAAAAACACTCCCCAAGGACAAAAACCACAAATCCTAGCTAAGCTCCTTCGCTTCTCCTTCCTTCTCCTTCTGTTTTTCAAGTTTCTAACACTGGTTTTTATCAGTATTTTCACGAGTTCGTTGCAACGAACCGCACCTTTCATCACGGCAAAAAACACAGAGGCGCTAATAATTTGAATTTCAAGCTCATTCGTCCCGACACATATAACCTTTTGTTGCGATGAACTTCACAAAGTGATCAAGTCTTCCCTCTGTGATAGAGCATATCCCTTTCCCTTTTTGTGCCGTTTGCAGTGGTGAACTTCTCCTTCTGCCACAGCAAAAAATACAGGGAGCCACAAAACAGCCTCAAAACCTCTAGTTTACCCTCTTTTCCTTATCCACCTCAAACAACCATTAACATATCAAGATCATATTACAATCAAGTTTAATTACTCATAAATTCTTGATTAAAAACCCGGATGTTACGCAAGTCCCCGTCGCTGCCGCTATCTCCACCTAGGCAATTGCATTCCTTGGTGGTTAGAGATGCGGTAGACAAGGTGGCTTCGATGCAAGCTAAGTGGGTCACTTTGCAAAAGGAGAAAGTTGCTGCCATGATTGTTGCTGAAGAGTACGTCTCGGTGGTTGGAGATATGATGGACAAGGAGGCTACCACTCCTTATATTGCTAATTTTGAATGTGTGTTGTCTTTTTGTTGGCTCTTGAATGGAAGCAAGGAAGGTGGAGGCGAGACTGTGATTATGGTGAAAGAAGCAATGAGCTTGGGGGACTAGACAACAGTTGTGGAGAAAAGAAAGAGGCATTCTTTTGGAAAAAAAAAATTAAAAAATAAATAGAAGTGATGTATTTTTTTTTCCTCCATTGCTAGCTAAGACATTTCATTGCCATATCAATCTCCATGTCAGCATCTTCAATCAACACTGGTATATTTAACAGTCACATTTGAGAAGTGTTTATAGGTATATTTGCATTTTAACTCTTTTTTTCCCTAATAAAAGACAATCTATTTAACAAAGCGATAAAAAGATACACATAAAACCATTAATTGATTCCTAGACATTAATTGATTCTGAGACGTGATCAAATTGGGAGTCAAAAGCCTAAAACAGAAATGCAATACAATATACTAACATCAACACTAACATAACAACATTTGAAACAAATAAAACATAGAGCTACCACCAGTAAGACCAAGCAACACCCAGCTCTTCAAAGACTACAATACTACCAAATTAAATACTGCTTGAAGTCTTAGGTAGCAGAAATATGTATTACTCGGCAACAACCAGAAGTTCATTTCAAGTAAAGTTCGAAAACCAAAAACAAAAATAATCAAGTTCAACAACAAAATCAAAACTATCAAAAAGGAAAGAGAGAAAAGAAATCTTCAAGATGATCCAGAATCCCATGCTACACAAACATTCATACCCACTTCTAATATCTTCCAAAGCTGAGCCAGAGTTTTTAAACCCAATCAAAGGGGTATGAGAAGCCTTAGCTACCCAATCAGTAGTTAAACTAGCCTCCTTAGTAACTACTCAGCAAAACCAATAAAACAAGAAACACAGAAAAAACAAATCATAAACTACCAACTCACACCGCCATTGATAACTTTTGACACGCCGCTTGCCTAGGAGCAGAATCTAGTTTTATCTAACATGCCAAATGCAAACCAATATGATGGCGTTCTAAATGGTAGTATTTAAAAAAAAAAAAAGATTGCAATCTGTATAACGCATTTATATTGTTATTCGATACGATACATATTTTATACTTTATAATAGAACACACGCGCTATATTTTAAAATTCTATTATTGGTTCTCTTCTAGAAGGTTTCAAAATAACTCAAACCTTTTTGGGGTATTCTCAAAAACTTAATTTTGTTATTAGTATTTTTAGATTCTCGTTAAATGCTTATTAAAACTTAAATACATTTACATTATTCATATGACATTAATACAGGTACATGTATCTCCCAAAACGCGTTCCCGTATCTATGGATCATAAATGGCGACTCATCGATCTTTAGCTTTATTTGTAATTTTATTTTTTTTTCAAAACTTTTTTCCTAATTTTATTAATTTATATATATGCATTCTGGAAGCCCCTCGTCAAACCAAAGCCTGTTGTTTCAATCCCCATTTTGCTTTCAAATCATTTTCTTTCATTTTTATTTTTCCTTTTCCTAATCATTTTCAAGCCACACTGTGATCAAGTCCTATGGACTTGTTTGGATTAAAGTTTACAGATTAAGGTTAGTTATAATTTAATATAATGTAATTTATGTTTAAATAGATTTTTATCAAAAAAATATTATTTTGACATCAAATAGATATTTAAATAATATATTAAAAAATCATCTTAAAAAGACTCATATCTTCATCCAATAGTCAAAAATCAGAAATCACATCCCGCTGAATACAGCTTTTTTTACCAATATGCTACAAACAGTAAAAACATATACCAAAATGCTGCAGTTTTAAAAGTACTTACCAATATGCTATATTTAAAATCATTCTTTAGGTACATAATTTTCAAAATTGTTCTTCTGGTGAACGATTTCTTCAAAATTAGTCATCGATATGTGTGAAGTGACAAAACTCATTCTTCTGGTGAACGATTTTAAAACTTCATCTCTTGCCAAACGACTTCTCACCTCCTCTCTTAATAAATGAAAATAAAATGATTAGAATAATAATTTATCAATTCATTTGAATGAAAAATCATAACTAAATAATAGGAGAAAAGTGTTGATAATTACATAATAATATTAAAACTAATTGTGAAATGAGTATAAGATGTATATTAATTAAAAATAAAAAGTAATAAATATTTTATTATAAATTCATAAGAAAAAAATTATCCACCTTACTAATAGTGACTTCCAATATCACATCTTACCCTCCTTCTCATACATTATGGTCATTGTTATTGTATATCAACTTCTTGAAATTTAAGTGTTTCATTTGTTTGTGTAGTTGGCGTGTTTAAGTCAAATCAAGATGATTCATTTAAATGTATAAATTGTCAAAGAGTAACAAATGATTCGTTTGATGGTCCAGCATGTTCAAAAGTAGAAGTATTGTATTCAACTAAAAATAGTGTATGATTATCTAATAAAGTTACAAACGATTGAAATTGAGAAAGATTGGCTGAGTTGGAAGGGAATGATGATGAAGGTGACATGTAATGAGACTCAAGTTGTGTAGAATCAACAGAGGTGAAGGGGGATGATGGTGAGAGTGATATGTCACAAGTCTGAGTAAAAATTGGAGGTTTCTGTTCATTTCATTTTCGTTTTCAATTATAGGTTGGATTGACAAGTAACCACCGCGTTGTTTGTTTGGTTTATCACGAGGAATTTGTAACTGAGGCAACTCAATTGTTGGTGGAACAGGCTAAGGTTCATATTAAAACGTTATTTTCTAAGTGCAAGTAAAATGTTACGTTGGTCGCTAGCAACCCTGTCTCGATAATCAATACAACTGGAGCATATTGAATGAGAATTAATTATATAAGGCAGAAAGAGATGAACCCTTCATTCTCACATGGAGAAAGAATAGTAAAAAGGTGAAATCGTTCTTGACTTGAATGATTTCACTTTTTAATGAAAAAGTGAAATCAGTCTCGATTTCACTTTTTATCAGATACCATACAAATCGTTCTTAACTAGAACGACTTGTGTATAATTTGAAAATCATTCTTGCCAAAAATAATTTTAAATGTAACATATTAGTAAATACTTTTGAAACTGTAGTATTTTGGTATATATTTTTATTCTTTATAGCATATTGATAAAAAAGCCCTCGGAATACCATTATGTTTATAAGATACTACCTCTGGTCTTTAATATAAAATCTTGTTTGACTTTTATTTTGATCCTAAATATAAGATCTAATCCATTTTGTCTCTAATATTTATGTATTTTTTTCTAAGATAATTCTTTTAATAATGGTAGTTCTATCCAACACATTTGATTAGCAAAGATATTTGAGGAAAGACAACACCTATTTATTACAAATAACTAACTTAACTTATTTTCTTAATCTTCTCAAATTAGTCAACTAACTTTTATAAATAGAACAGGAGATAGTACTAATCTTTTTTATAAGATTTAGTTTGGGATTATCCGAATATTATATCTATTTTTATCATTAATATTCCTATTAATTCTATTCTCTCTTATTATCTTTTTCCGATGCATTTTTTCATTATTTTTCTCTCACTTATCCTGCATATTTGAAATTATATATTATATATTTATTATTTTTAGTTAATTTCAAAAGATTTTTTAAACCAAACAATTCGATTACTACAATATTGTAGCATTTTAAAACGTGGTTTTTGGGCAAAAAGCCATTTATCCCCAAATTTTTTTCAACTAGCTTTTAAGAGTCATTTTTAAGTTTCCCAACAGCATCTGAGCGTAGTCCATTGCTTGCCTGTCAATACAATCAAATTCCAAAGCGAAATGTAGCTGAGTAGGACTCAAGTACGAATACACCCCACTCTTTCACTTTACTTTTTAACCTTTTTTTTTCAATTTAGTTACTGTATATTTTAAAATTTTTAAAAATAGGGAGAAAGATATGAAATAAAATTTTCAAAAATATATATAAAATATTAGTAACACAATTTTTTCCTTCTTCCTCAACAAAGAAGGATCATCATGGATCTTTTGTACATTCTGCAAACCACTCATCATCAACCCAATGCCTATGGTTCAAATTTCAATCCGCATTCTGTTTTCCAATCATTTTTTTCCTTTCTTTTTCCAATCAAAATTTCACAATTAATTAATTTGTTAATCCCAAAAAAGGACGAAAATGCAAATATCGCTACCAGCATTGATCCGTCTCCCATCTTCGGGTCGTGTAGAATCCGGAAGACCGATCTTGCATCGATGATAGATACGGACGTCTCCTCCGGCGAGCAGCCCTCAAAGACAGATCATACAGTGCTCTGGCCGACGGATCGGACAGCGTCTCATAGGCGTTGTGGATCGCGATGAAGTCCCTTCCGTCCGATTCCGATTGGCGCACGGCCGAATCAGGGTGGTAAAGCTTGGCCAAGCTCCTATATGCCGACTTGATTTCCGTCGGAGACGCATTCTGGTTGACTCGGAGCACCTCATAGAGACTAATTGACCGCCGACAATCGATCACTACTGGATCGGCCTCCATCGCAACAGCGCCGATCGAAGTTCTGCGCTTCTTTGAGGACTTCACAGGTAGACGCCGGAGAAATCTGAAAGATGAGGCGGAGGGTGATGAAGAACGGAGTGGCCGGCCGGCGGGTAGAGGGAGATTAAGGGCTTGGGACATTGAGGAAGGTAAAATCGGAAGAATGTTTCCGGCAGTAGTAGGTTTTTGGTGTGAACTTGGTAACGCAAATGAAGAGAGAGACGAGACCTATTTATCTAGCGGTCAAACACTTGAAGGGAAAGAAGAGGTTTCGGGGGGAGAGGGAGAGAGAAAGAGAAAAGGGTAGAAAGGTAAATTCAGTAGGGCACGAGGGTTGAGTGCAAAACTACGTGCAGTCGATTTTCAGTAAGGAGGAGAGAGAGCACGGAAAGTGCAATCTGAGAATGCCACGTGGAGGATGCGCTCTTTGTTTTGGACTGGCCTTCTAGAAGACTTGCCCATCTAGAAGACTTGAACCTTCGTGTTGGACGACGAGACACCACGGTTCTAAATACAAATACTACTTTTGTATTTAATATAAAATTTATTTAATTATTTTAATTAAATTAAAAAAATTAAATAAGTTAGTTAATGATAAAAAATATGAAATATTTTTTTCTAAAATTTCATAATCATCTTTCTTAATATCCTTTCTTCTTATTCTATTTAATTATGGTTGAATGAGTATCTATATGAGTAATTTAAAAAAACTGATAAATATGAGAAATAGGTATTATATTTAATATTAAAATTAACTCAATAATTAGGTTATATATCAAGGATAGAGGGTAGTTAACTAACTTAAATAGATTAAAAAATAAGTTAAATTAGTTATTTATAATGAATAGATATTGTCTTTTCTAAAATATCCTTACTAATTAAATGTATTGATTAGAACTATTATTATTAGAAGGATTACTTTAAAAAAAATGTATAAATATAAAAGACAAAATAAACTAGAATCTTATATTTACGATCGAAATAAAAGTTAAATGAGATTTATATTAAGAATTAGAGGTAGTATTTATTTATAAAAAAGTAAAACCTCAATATTAATATTCATGCAATTAATCAAAATCAAAATTTTATTTTTCGTTCTTCCTCGGTGAGAAGAATTCACACGCTCATAGTATTTATAGACGGTCAAATACATCACCTTATACTATTAATAAAATTTAAGGAGATGCTAAGTATCTGTTAAATCAAATGGCTCCAAGAATCAAAACCAAATTAAATAATATTAATATAGGTATTAAATATTACCTCCAATCCTTAATAGCAACTCATTTAACTTTTATTTTGATCATAAATACAAGACTCCAATATACTTTGTCTCTTATATTTATTCATTTTTTTAAAATAGTCCTTATAATAATGGTAATTCTAGCCACTACACTTAATTAGTAAGGATATTTTAGAAAAAATAACACATATTTATTATAAATAATTAACTTAATTAGTTTTTTAATCTACTTAAATTATTCAATTAGTTGTTATATTAAAAAAGAAGGTAGTATAAAATTGATAATGAGTCATAAGATTTACATGGTATAAAAATATATTTTGTCCCTAAATTTTCGCATGGACGGTTATCATTTTTTACTTAGCATGTGTTTCATGTGTTTCATCTTGATCTCCCTAAAAGCTGTTATTTCATCTCTTTAGCATATTATAATTTGTGTATATTTAGATTTACATGAATTTTTTTATGGGTTTTTTTTCTGATAATACAAACTTTGTTTTTTAATATAAGGGTTATTTAATTAATTTGAAAATATTAAAAAATTTTAATAAATTAGTTAATTATAACAAATATGACCTGATGACTCTCTAAAATAAACTTGTATTATATTAGATTATATATCAATTTATAAGTTAGATAAATTCATTTGAATAAAAATAATAAATATATAAAAAACATAAGAAATTAAAATATTATATTTAGAATTAAATCCAATATCACAGCTCATATATTGTATTGGTATGGTAATACACCAAGAGCCCAGCTAATTTTAATACTACTTCCGGTCCTTAATATAAGATCTTATTTGACTTTTATTTTGGTCCTAAATATAAAACTCCAATCCACTTTGTCTCTTATATTTATACATTTTTTTTTCAAAGTAACCCTTCTAACAATGATAGTTCTAATCAATACAATTGATTAGTAAGGATTATTTTAGAGAAAACAACACATATTTAGGACAAATAACTAACTCAATTTACTTCCTTAATCTCCTCAAATTAGTCAACTGGCTCTTATAATTAGGATCGGAGGTAGTAGAATACTTCTAGTGCGAATATCAAATTCTCAATTATTATAATTAATACTCTTCCGGTCCTTAATATAGGACCCAATTCTTGAGTTAGTTTTGATCCTAAATATAAGACCCATTTCTCATATTTATCACTTTTCTCTAAATTACCCTTATGGATACTCCCTCAATCATAATCAAGTAGAAGAGGGAGAGGGGTATTAAAAAAGATGATTATGGTGTTTTAGGAAAAATGTGTCACATTTTTTATAATTAACTAACTCACCTAACTTCCTTAATCTAATCAAATTAGTTAAATGGGTCTTACATTAAGGATCGGAGAAGTACATAATAAAAATTATAGCAAACCAATATCAAATTATTAATCACAATAATTAATAAATAATTAAAAAAACTATAGCAAAACACATGATTTGCGAGTCATATGCAATACACTTCATATATACTTTTCATACAATGCATATCAAGGGCCACTTAATTTAAATAATATATCCAATTGTTTTTCCAAGGAAATATTGGAGTATCATGTATTTAATAAATTATATAAGAACGCCAAATATATTTATTTATGACGCACTTATATCCCAAACATGTATAGCGTATTTGAAGTTTTTGCTTCATTTTTTTCCTCTTTTCTTTAAGTAATTTATTGTACATTATTAGTTGATCATGAAGAAGACGTTTTAAAATTTGTGTCTTGTTTCTTACATGTACTTGGTCATAATGAATGTGGCAATTTTAATTAGGCTAATGCAATGAAAATGATTTTTTTTTCTGGTCAACAATGAAGAGGATATTTAGATCATCACTTTGTATAAGAAATCAGTATAAATACATACATTTTAAAGAGTCCAAAAAATAAGTTGTATTTATTATTACTCATGAATACTTTTGTATATGCACGTATAGATAAATATTTGGAAATTATTTAGACGTACAATGGGCTTATTTGATCAAAGTATGGATACATGTTAACAATTAACAGAAAAGGTAATAAATGAATGAAAACGTAATTCTTTGGAAAAAAAAAGGAAAAACAAAACAAGGGATCTAGAAGCTGGGCCCAAGAAAGTAACCTAAAAACGGCCCCCTTCTTTATTATATTTATTTTTGCCTTTTAGTTATTGTAGATTCGGTATGGATCTTCCTCCAAAACTCTATGGATTCTCATTAAATAACAATTAAGTTAATTGAAGTTATAAAAGTGGATTAAGTTAATTTGATGAAATGACTGGTTTAACCCATCCATTTAGTATTACTTGAATTTTTTGAATAAAATAATAGAAATTTGGTTTATTTAAATGGATTAAATCATTAAGTATATCCGGCCTTAATACCTGCCTTGCATATTTTGTCATATTTTTTTTCTAAATAACTTCAACTAAAAATTATCTCATAAATTGATATACTATAGTTTAAGGAAAAGTCCTAATAGAAGTTGAATAAAAATATCTCAAATTATATGATCTTTGTTTTAAACTCTTCTTTTTTATATGGTGAAACTGTTGTAGTATGACAAAGTTCAAATATAATTGAAGCTTAATAAATGAATAAACAAATACATAATTGTTCCCTTATCAAACACGCATCTGATATAATACTTTACATTAACATATTCTAAACATCTTTATCACTATCTTTTTCTTCTGCTACAAAACTCTACAAAAACTTAGAGATAAATCAAATTTTTTAGGTTGCTTGTTATAAATATCTTTATATTAATCTTGAAAAGATTCTTAAGTCTCAAAATTTTTAAGTGTTTTCTTGTCAACTTTAAGTGTTAATTTGTTGAAAATCTATACGGTTGGCAAAAAAAATTGTTGAATATTTATACAATCATATATGTACATTTCTAGCTGGCCAAAAATATATATATTTCTAATACACAGAATACTAATATATGTTAAAATCTGTTATACCTAACACATGCTTGCCCCATATTTTTGCATTATAGTTTAAGACATTTGAATGCCTTTTTTTACGAGAATATATTAAAAATATAAATTTTAAAATGAGTGTTTTGTGTGTATTTTGTATTTTTTGGTGAAGATGAGTATTTTTTTTCGATATTGAATATGTGATTTTTGTTCTAGTGGATTTAACCGATCAACTTGTCTAACCCACCTAGTGAATGGAGTTCTGATAATGAACTAATCCATTTAAATGCTGAACTAATGACTCTTGATGAGTTTATTTTTAATATGTTTAACCATTTTGACAACTCTAACATATGAGTATTTATATATATGTTCTCGTCTTTATTATAAGATCCCTTTTAAACAAAAACTTTTGTCCTTTTGATAAGACTCCATGATAGTTTTAATGAGTTTTAAATATTTTTTTCATATACGCCCATATTCAATAAGAGGAGAGTAGAAATTATTATGATATTGTAATTTAGTGTAGTTAATAAAAGTAAAATTGGAAATCACTTAAAATTTATAACAAATTTAATAATTTTAATTGTGTCTATTGGTATGTATGAATTGAATGAGTTAGTAGTTTTTCATAATAAAAACCAGAGGGAGTGCGTGTATATAAGTAAGCATAAAGAGTATATTTTACCAATGATAGAGATTTTTTTTAATGGATACTGAGAGTAAAAGACAGACTTTTCCTAATTAAATTGTTGCATCTATAAGGGTTGGGATTCGATTGCTCAACTGCTAGTTTAAGTAAAGAGAAACTTTACATACATATATATGTTGTTGTTCTTGTTTGTATGTAGGAAAAATGCCTCACGTTACTCGAGTTAAGAGAAACTTCAATGTAAATATGCTAAGATGTAAATTTGGGCGAGTAAAAAAGCCAAGAGAAGGAAACTATCACATATAACGATTGGCTAATACTCCTCCGGTCCTTAATATAAGACCCATTTAACTAATTTGATTATATTAAGGAAGTTAGGTAAATTAATTAATTATAAGAA